ACCACTGGTTATATTGTGTGGCTGAGATACAACCATTGTTTATACTGTGTGGGTGAGATACAGCTGTTGGTTATACTGTGTGGCCGAGATACAGCTGTTGGTTATACTGTGTGGCTGAGATACAGCTGCTGGTTATACTGTGTGCCTGAGATACAACAACTGGTTATACTGTGTGGCTGAGATACAACAACTGGTTATACTGTGCGGCTGAGATACAGCTGCTGGTTATACTCTGTGGCTGAGATACAACAACTGGTTATACTGTGTGGCTGAAATACAGCTGCTGGTTATACTGTGTGGCTGAGATACAGCTGTTGGTTATACTGTGTGGCTGAGATACATCTGTTGGTTTTACTGGGTGGCTGAGATATAGCTGTTGGTTGTACTGTGTGGCTGAGGTACAGCTGCTGGTTATACTGTGTGGCTGAGATACAACCATTGGTTATACTGTGTGGCTGAGATACAACCACTGGTTATACTGTGTGGCTGAGATACACCTGTTGGTTAGACTGTGTAGCTGAGATACAGCTGTTGGTTATACTGTGTGGCTGAGATACAGCTGCTGGTTATACTGTGACGCTGAGATACAACCACTGGTTATACTGTGTGGCTGAGATACAGCTGTTGGTTATACTGCGTGGCTGAGATACAACCACTGGTTATACTGTGTAGCTGAGATACAACCATTGGTTATACTGTATGGCTGAGATACAGCTGTTGGTTATACTGTGTGGCTGAGATACAGCTGTTGCTATACTGGTGGCTGAGATACAACCACTGGTTATCTGTGTGGCTGGATACAACCACTGGTTATACTGTGTGGCTGAGATACAGCTGTTGGTTGTACTGTGTGGCTGAGATACAGCTGCTGGTTATACTGTGTGGCTGAGATACAACCATTGGTTATACTGTGTGGCTGAGATACAACCACTGTTTATACTGTTTGGCTGAGATACACCTGTTGGTTAGACTGTGTGGCTGAGATACAGCTGTTGGTTATACTCTGTGGCTGAGATACAACCATTGTTCATACTGTGTGGCTGAGATACAGCTGTTGGTTATACTGTGTGGCTGAGATACAGCCACTGGGTATACTGTGTGGCTGAGATACAACCACTGTTTATACTGTGTGGCTGAGATACAGCTGTTGGTTATAATGTGTGGCTGAGATACAGCTCTTGGTTATACTGTGTGGCTGAGATACAGCTGCTGGTTATACTGTGTGGCTGAGATACAGCTGCTCGTTATACTGTGTGGCTGAGATACAACAACTGGTTATACTGTGTGGCTGAGATACAGCTGTTGGTTACACTGTGTGGCTGAGATACAGCTGTTATTTATAATGTGTGGCTGAGATACAGCTGTTGGTTATACTGTGTGGCTGAGATACAGCTGCTGGTTATACTGTGTGGCGAGAACAGCTGATATGCTTTCAACTCTCCTAAGCTTGACCATATCACTCCACTACTATAGTGTTGACCAATATCATCACTCTGTGTGTGAGCATATCATCACCTGCTAGTGTTGACCATTATCCACTACTGTAGTGTTGACCATATCAACCACTACTGCCAGTTGACATATCACTCCTATGTAGTGTTGACCAGTATCACTCCACTATACTGTGTGGTTGACCAATACACTTCGTACTACTAGTGTTGCCAATACACTCTACTACCTGTGTGTGACCATATACAAACCTACTAGGTTGACATATCACTCCATACGTAGTGTTGACAATATCACTTTCTACCTGCTAGTGTTGACCAATAACACTGTTATACTGCTATGTGACAATTCACTCACTCCTTGTAGACTGTGTGCCGAATATACACCACTACTGTAATGTTGACCAATATCACTCACTGCCTGTAGTGTTGACCATACAATCCACTGCTAATGTTGACCAATATCAACCATTGCTTTCTGTGTTGACCAATATCAACTCCACTACTGATACATGTTGTGGCCAATACATCCACACCTGTAGGTTGACATTCATCCATACTGATGTGTTGACCATACACTCAGCTCAGTGTTGATCATATATTACCTGTAGTGTTGACCAATAGCACTCACTACCTGCTGTGTTGTTAATATCACTCGTATGGCTAGTGTTGACCAATATCACTCCGTTACTGCTAGTGTGACCAATATCACCCACTACCTACTAGTGTTGACCATATCACTCCAGTATTGCTGAGTTGACACATATCCTACAGTACCTGCTAGTGGCTTGACAATATCACCCTTAACCTGCTAGTGTTGACTAATACCACTGTTATACCTGTAGTGTTGACCATATCACTCCACACTTCTAGTGTTGACTAATTCACTATACCTGCTAGTGTTGACTAATTCCTCGACTACTGATACGTTTTGAACCAATTATCTCCACTACTGCTGGTTGCTAATATCAGCTTTCTACTACTGCTGTGCTGCCAATTCACTCATACCTGTGTTTGACCAATTTGACTCCAATACCAAGTGTTGACTAATATCACTCCTACTACTGCTAGATGTAGACCATTGTACTCACTGCCTGCTAGGTGACCAATACACTCCACTTACCTGATGTGTTGACAAATTACTCCCACCTGTGTATTGACAATATTACTCCACTACCTGCTAGTGTGACCAATATTATCATTGCTGCTAGTGTCGACCATATCACTACTACCTGTAGTGTTGACTTATAGGACTCACTACTGCTAGTGTTGACTATATCACTCACTACGTGTGTGTTGACTAATATCAATCCAACCGCTGTTGACTAATATCATCCATACACAGTGTGGACTAATACAAACTCCACCACCTGCTAGTGTTGACTAATATCAGCTCTACTACTGCTAGTGTTGCTAATACATTCACACGTGTAGTGTTGACTAATATCTCCATCGCTAGTGTTGACTAATACACTCAGTACCTACTAGTGTTGGCTATGTACTCACACTTGTTTGATAATATCACTCCTGAGTACTACTTGTGTTGATAATGTCACTGCCAGATACAGCTGTTGTTACTAATATCTGCAATACCTACTGTTGTTGACTATATCACTTCCTGTACCATACTAGTGTTGACTAATTCTCACCACTGCTGTGTTGACTATATACTCCCTACCCTGCTTGGTTAACTATTCACTCAATACATGCTAGTGTTGAGTAATATCACTCCAATACCTGCTAGTGTTGGATAATTTCACTTTTCTAGTACTACTGTGTGACTAATATCATTCCCCGCCAAACAGCTGATAGTTGACCAATATCACTCCACTACGTGCTAGTGTTGACTAATATCACTCCACTACCTGCTAGTGTTGACTAATCACTCCAGTACTCTAGTGTTGCTAATGTCACTCCACTACCTACTAGTGTTGACTAATATCACTCCACTACCTGCTAGTGTTGACCAATATCACTCACTACCTGCTAGTGTTGACTAATATCACTCCATCTACCTGCTAGTGTTGACTAATATCACTCCACTACCTGCTAGTGTTGACTAATATCACTCCACTACCTGCTAGTGTTGACTAATATCACTCCACTACCTCTAGTGTTGACCAATATCACTCCACTACCTGCTAGTGTTGACTAATATCACTCCACTACCTGCTAGTGTTGACTAATATCACTCCACTACCTGCTAGTGTTGACTAATATCACTCCACTACCTGCTAGTGTTGACCAATATCACTCCACTACCTGCTAGTGTTGACTAATATCACTCCACTACCTGCTAGTGTTGACTAATATCACTCCACTACCTGCTAGTGTTGACCAATATCACTCCACTACCTGCTAGTGTTGACTAATATCACTCCACTACCTGCTAGTGTTGACTAATATCACTCCACTACCTGCTAGTGTTGACTAATATCACTCCACTACCTGCTAGTTTTGACTAATATCACTCCAATACCTGCTAGTGTTGACTAATATCACTCCACTACGTGCTAGTGTTGACTAATATCACTCCACTACCTGCTAGTGTTGACTAATATCACTCCACTACCTGCTAGTGTTGACTAATATCACTCCACTACCTGCTAGTGTTGACTAATATCACTCCACTACCTGCTAGTAGTTGACTATATCACCCACTACCTGCTAGTGTTGACTAATATCACTCCACTACCTGCTAGTGTTGACTAATATCACTCCACTACCTGCTAGTGTTGACTAATATCACCCACTACCTGTAGTGTTGACTAATATCACTCCACTACCTGCTAGTGTTGACTAATATCACTCCACTACGTGCTAGTGTTGACTAATATCACTCCACTACCTGCTAGTGTTGACTAATATCACTCCTCTACCTCCTAGTGTTGACTAATATCACACCACTACCTGCTAGTGTTGACTAATATCACTCCACTACCTGCTAGTGTTGGCTAATATCACTCCAGTATCTGTTGGTGCACACGTGCACTGTGATACTTTAACTCTCACTGAAGAACTTGGCTGCTGAGGATATTTTATGCTCCAGTTGACTCTTGCTCACAATATTACTTTCAAGTAACATAAAATATATGTGGGCAGTTTGCCACAAGCTTGAGTCAAATCGTCATTTCGTGTGTAGTTTTGGCACTGTTGTGTTATGAACAATAACCCTCCATATACTATACTTTAAAGCATAAATAACCTTCAAACTGGAAATAAAAACTAACTACTTTTCAGTTCATCGCGGGTTATTTGCTAGGTGAAACGTGGACCTGTTGTCTTTACACCTGCCGTCCCTAGCACCTGTAACAGTTATAACACCTATAACAATTATAACAGCTGGAACAATTATGAAATCTGTAACAATCATGGCATCTGTAACAGTACAAGGTGTAACAATTATTTAATTGTGGTTGGCATCCTGGTGAGTGATAATGAACATTAGACAGAACTCGGCCTTGCAAGGATGTGATTTAGGCTAACAGTTCTTAGCGTGTAAACTGCAGTATGTAAAAGGAAAAGATGTTGATTGTTACTGTTGCTAGTTAGACCACCAGGTGATGGGCTTGAAGGTGACTCTACACAGCAAGTGGGCACTAACAACGCTGCAGACACCCATCGGCTCGTGGGCACACTTCTGCTTCCTCTATCGCTTCCTCACTGGGGAATGGAACATCTTCCAGGACGGTGAGCTTCGCGCACACGGCACCTTTCCCATTACTGACACACCTCTCTTAGGGAATGGCGTCTACATAATAGGTGAGTCTTGCCTTAAAGGTATTTCTAGTTTTATATGCTCCTAAAGTCTTATACAAAGTCATATTTTGATGAGTAAATATCACAGTGCCGTTACTGGAACAATTTATAACTAATCAGCAAATTGGCGTCTTTTCGAGAGACCGAAATGTAGCCTAAAGTTTCATAGCTAATTACTGGTTTAATTATAAAAAAAGTTTGGTTAAAAAAACTTTAGTAATTTTTTAAGCCTGTACGTCAATGTACTCAGATGAAAATAGTATATATTAAACAGTTGTTTGTATGTACAAAACATCTACAGTCTTGGTCAAAGTACTTTCAGTTTCATGAAGTTCTGTGAGAGTCACAGATGCGAAGGTCAGAGCCTAGAGAAATATGTCAGAAAAAGTTAAAGATGAAGAAGGGATGTAAGTGTAGAAGTGAGGTGGAAGAGGATACTTAACGCCAGTGATCTTACATCTCAGGTGCCGTAATCTAGAATGTAATCTAGGATGTAATTAGAGTGACAGGGTGAAGATTTGGGAACGTCGTATTTGAAAGCCTTGTAAGAGGTATAACTACATTTCTGATATATTGGGAGTTGAGGGTGATGAGCGACTAGGGACAGAAGATACTTGGTTGCTGTCTTCATTGATACAGATAACTCATGATCTGGCTAAATAATACATCATTCTTTTCCTTCAAACAACGGATTTCGTTCTCCAGAATATAAATATAGACATATTCTTTCCTGGAGTTAAGAAGGCTTTCTTTACCAGGAAAGGTTATTGTGATTAGTATCTCCAAAGACTTTCCCTCCGTTATTTACAATATTTCATCCGGTGCTCTGAACGCCAGCGTTTGGAGGGCTTCACAGTAGTGATGGATTTATCTATGTTGTCCGTAGACTGGTGCAGGTGTAATCCAGTCTGTAGTATGTCCTGGAAGATCATTTACTATCTGTGGCTTTGGGAAGTCATCCTTGTGAACGTAACGTCGTACTCGTTGTTGCAAAGTCATGATTTGTGTTCTGTGAAGAGGTTCTCGGCTCTCATAGTCTGTGGTGTTAATCGGCTGGGGGGGGGGGGTTCTATGTCTTTTGAGAAGAGGTCTACAGCTGACGTTACTTGAGTGTGTCTATCTTTACACTAAAGGACAGAGTCCATTCGGACTCTGTTCCTCAGCTTAGTGCCAGAGATAAAACTGATGACACTGTTCTGGACTTTCTGTAGTTTCATCATGTTAGATTTAGGTGTGAGTGATAGGGGTACGCATGGACGTATCCGCATCTAGATAAGTGCTGGGGCCTTGAAGAATCTAAAGAGCTGGTAAAGGCAATTTTTTTTTGCTATATTTACCATGTCATAGACATGTGTAGTGGAGTGTCAATTTCCTATTCCAGGATCCTGCTTGAGTTTTTGATGGCGATTCCTCCATCGTTTACTATCATCATTGGGTAGCATCCGATGGTGCTGACTTGAACCGTCTCCAGGTTGGTGGTGATCCTTCATTTCTTGTTCCAGTTTACCGCTCTGAGCTCTTTATGCATCTCAGTCACTTTCATGTATCTATTGTCTCTGGTCCTCAGGATGAAGGTCACAACATGTATTACACCGTCAGCAAATTGGGTAATGATGGTGTCTTTGTACTCATGTTGGAGGACATTGTTAAAATAGATGATGAATAGCATAGGCCTCAGGCAAGAGCCCTGGGGTACTCCAGGTGTGAGAGAGATCTCAGCTGTTATGACTAAAAGTGGGGACGATGCGTCTCTTGGTTGGAAAGCTGTATACTAGACGCTGGAAAGTCCAATTGTTGCAGGGGAGGTCAGCTAGTTTGAACATAAGGCCATGGTACCAGAGGCTGCTGAATTCTTTGTTTATGACCCTCGTTGCAATCAGAGCTAGGTTGCCTTGTCTAATTAGGCAGTCAAACAACGTTGTAGATAGTGGTGACGGCGTGCTGAGTTGCCCTGTAGTTCCTGAACCCGAACTGCTTCACGTTGAAGAGACGATGATATTCCATATAGTAGTTCAACATCAAAATGGTATACAATACCGACAGGTTGTTAGGTAAGACACATATGCAACAGTTAGACAACTTTATTCCGAAACGTTTCGCCTACACAGTAGGCTTCTTCAGTCGAATACAGAAAGTAGGCAGGAACAGTAGAGATGTGAAGACGATGTAATCAGTCCATCACCCTTACTACTACTACTACTACTACTACTACCCTGCACCTCTCCTTCCGACAGTATTTAAGTCTCCGCACTGTCGCTTGATCTTCAGATAGTTCCTGACTATGGAACTGAACTTCTCCAGGCCGAGGGACTGACAACCTCAAATTCTACGACTTTAAGGGTGATGGACTGATTACATCGTCTTCACATCTCTACTGTTCCTGCCTACTTTCTGTATTCGACTGAAGAAGCCTACTGTGTAGGCGAAACGTTTCGGAATAAAGTTGTCTAACTGTTGCATATGTGTCTTACCTAACAACCTGTCGGTATTGTATACCATTTTGATGTTCATCTTGTCAGACACTGCAACACGTGGCATCTTGGTACAGAAAACACCTTGAACAAGCTTTTCAAGTGAGAAGGGTTGGATCTGAGAGGGACATGACCTCTCAGTTGCCTCTCACTACTACTATTACTACTACTACTACTACTACCCTGCACCTCTCCTTCCGACAGTATTTAAGTCTCCGCACTGTCGCTTGATCTTCAGATAGTTCCTGACTATGGAACTGAACTTCTCCAGGCCGAGGGACTGACAACCTCAAATTCTACGACTTTAAGGGTGATGGACTGATTACATCGTCTTCACATCTCTACTGTTCCTGCCTACTTTCTGTATTCGACTGAAGAAGCCTACTGTGTAGGCGAAACGTTTCGGAATAAAGTTGTCTAACTGTTGCATATGTGGTCTTACCTAACAACCTGTCGGTATTGTATACCATTTTGATGTTCATCTTGTCAGACACTGCAACACGTGGCATCTTGGTACAGAAAACACCTTGAACAAGCTTTTCAAGTGAGAAGGGTTGGATCTGAGAGGGACATACCTCTCAGTTGCCTCTCACTACTACTATTACTACTACTACTACTACTACTACTACTACCCTGCACCTCTCCTTCCGACAGTATTTAAGTCTCCGCACTGTCGCTTGATCTTCAGATAGTTCCTGGACTATGGAACTGAACTTCTCCAGGCCGAGGGATGACAACCTCAAATTCTACGACTTTAAGGGTGATGGACTGATTACATCGTCTTCACATCTCTACTGTTCCTGCCTACTTTCTGTATTCGACTGAAGAAGCTACTGTGTAGGCGAAACGTTCCGGAATAAAGTGTCTAACATGTTGCATATGTGTCTTACCTAACAACCTGTCGGTATTGTATACCATTTTGATGTTCATCTTGTCAGACACTGCAACACGTGGCATCTTGGTACAGAAAACACCTTGAACAAGCTTTTCAAGTGAGAAGGGTTGGATCTGAGAGGGACATGACCTCTCAGTTGCCTCTCACTACTACTATTACTACTACTACTACTACTACCCTGCACCTCTCCTTCCGACAGTATTTAAGTCTCCGCACTGTCGCTTGATCTTCAGATAGTTCCTGACTATGGAACTGAACTTCTCCAGGCCGAGGGACTGACAACCTCAAATTCTACGACTTTAAGGGTGATGGACTGATTACATCGTCTTCACATCTCTACTGTTCCTGCCTACTTTCTGTATTCGACTGAAGAAGCCTACTGTGTAGGCGAAACGTTTCGGAATAAAGTTGTCTAACTGTTGCATATGTGTCTTACCTAACAATATAGTAGTTCAACTTCTTGGTGATGATTTTACCTCCACTTAATTAGTAGTGTTTCTATCCTAACTACTTATGTCACTCCGTTACCACTCCAGAGGTGTGTGCATCAATGGTTCTACTTGTGATTACCACCACTTCCGCAGTGACTAACACAACCATCTACTTCTGCCCCTTCTATTCTTATTAACTCTGTTGCTTCGTTGGTGATTGATCTCTCTGATGCATATGAACAAACATCAGGAATTCGTTGACTTCAAATTGTCCCAATGTAGCATCTCGTTACATTCTACACTTGCAAAGTGCCAGTCCAGTTGGTTCTTGAATGACTGAACTGTCTTCACGCTAACAACTTTAGCGAGTAATTTATTCCGTTCTGGCATAATTGTTTGCCACAAAACCTTTGTATACATTCTTGTTGTATCTTTCGCCTCTAGGTTTCATTTCATTGTTTCGAGTTATGGCTCATTCAATATTTCAGATAGTTTCGCATGTTTGAGTATGTCATAACTAGTCCTACAAGAAAAAGTATAAGTGCACTGAGTTGTTTTTCATAAAGTTCGTTCTGAGCGATGTACTTGTAACCTCTCCAGCATATCTTCGTTTATTATGTAATCTTGAAAGTAAAACTGGATTGCATATTCAAGATGCGGTCTAATAAATGCTTCAGAATAAATTAAGTTTGATGTTTTATGTTCAAAGTTTCTAGCAATTAATTAAGCCTAGCATTTTGTTGATTTTGTTGCTGTAAAATAGGCATTGCTTGGTGCTCTTGAGGTCGTTGTTCATGATTACTCCAGGGTCCTTTTCTTCACTTGTCTCATTTAGTTTGCTGCTAAACATTTTGCCTTCAAGTTTGAGATTGTTATAACTAAGATGCTCTTGTCAACGTTGAAACTCATTTCCGTGGTTATTAATACTGGCAGGGCAGGAGCAGGATTCCATGGGCGGAGGTTTCCAGCGAGACCAGTGCTTCAGTGGCGAGATCACTGAGCTTAACTTCTGGGACACTGAGCTTTCTAACCATACCATTAAAAGGGTAAGTTTTTTTCCTCCAGTTATTTACACTTGACACATTACAGTTTAAATATAAATCTATTTCACTAAATATTATGGATTCAGTTCCGAAGAAATAAAGGTTTATTCCAGCTAACCTAACCTAACCTAACCTAACCTAACCTAATCTTCCCTTATATATATATATATATATATATTTTATTTTATAATTATATATTTTATATATAATATATTTATATATATATTTAGGTAGTAGGATGGTAGACAACAACCACCCAGGAAGTACTACCGTCCTGCCAGAGGACTGTGAAACAGAAACCTGTAACTGTTTTGCATGATGGTAGGATTGCTGGTTTCTTTTTCTGTCTCATAAACACGCTAGATAACGGGGATATTTTGTACTCCTACTTACACTTTGGTCACATTTCACGGGACACGCACATGCTTTATATATATATACATTACATCTAGGTTTTTCTCCCTTTTTCTAAAAGCTCTTGTTCTTCTTTATTTCTTCTATTGCCCATGGGGAAGTGGAAAAGAATCTTTCCCCGTAACCCATGCGTGTCGTTGAGGCGACAAAAATGCCGGGAGCAATGGGCTAGTAACACCTTCTCCTGTGACATTTACTAAAAAAGAGAAAAAGAAAAACTTGATAAAACTGGGATGCTTAAATGTGCGTGGTTTGTAGTGCGGATGACAAGAAACAGTGATTGCTGTGTTATGAATGAAAAGAAGTTGGTTTGCCGGGCCCCAAAGCGAAACAAAGCTGAAGGGGGAGGGGAGTTTCGGTGGGGGGAAATAAATGGGATTAAATCTGGAGTATCTGAGAGAGTTAGAGCAAAGGAAGGGGTAGCAGTAATGTTGAATTTATCAAAATTATGGAAGGAGAAAAGAGAATATGAATGTGTAATTCAAGAATTATGTGGATAAAGTAAAGGTTGGATGCGAGAAGTGGGTCATAATAAGCGTGTATGCACTGGAGAAGGAGGAATGCAGAGGAGAGAGAGAGATTTGGGAGTGTTAAGTGAATGTATAGGAGCCTTTGAACCAAGTGAGAGAGTAATTGTGGTTGGGGACCTGAATGCTAAAGTAGGAGAAACTTTTAGAGGGGTGTGGTAGGTAAGTTTGGGGTGCCCGGTGTAAAAGATAATGGGAGCCCTTTGATTGAACTTTGTATAGAAAGGGGTTTAGTTATGGTAATAATATTTTAAGAAAAAGAGGATAAATAAGTATACAAGATATGATTTTAGGGCGAAATGACAGTAGTTTTTTGAATTATGTATTGGTTGATAAAAGACTGTTGAGTAGACTTCAGGGTGTACATGTTTATAGAGGGGCCACAGATATATCAGATCACTTTTTAGTTGTAGCTACACTGAGAGTAAAGGTAGATGGGATACAAGGAGAATAGAAGCATCAGGGAAGAGAGAGGTTTAAAGTTTATAAACTAAAAGAGGAGGCAGTTAGGGTAAGATATAAACAGCTATTGGAGGATTATGGGCTAATGAGAGCATTTGGCAATGGGGTCGAAGAGGTATGGGGTAGGTTTAAAAATGTAGTGTTAGAGTGTTCAGCAGAAGTTTGTGGTTACAGGAAAGTGGGTGGGAGGAGGGAAGAGGAGCGATTGGTGGAATGATGATTTTAAGAGGTAGAAAGGGAGAAAAAGTGATATGAGAAGTTTTTCAAAGTAAAGTGATGAAAGGGGGAAGAGTTATGGAGAAAAAAGAGAGGAAAAAGCACCGGGATTGATGGGAAAAAGATAGAAATGTTAAAAGCAGGGGGGGATATATTTTGGGGGTGGTTGGTGCAATTATTTAAAAAATGTAGGAAGAGGGGAGGTACCAGGGATTTGGGAGAGAGCATGCATAGCCCTTTTTATAAAGGCAAAGGGGGTAAAAAAGGGGTGAAATTTTAGGGGTAAGTCTGTTTAGCATACCCGGTAAAATGTATGGGAGGTTTAAATGACAGAATTAAGAGTAAGACGGAGAATAGATAGCAGATGAAAAAGGAGGCTTTAGGAAAAGGAGGGGTGTGTGGCCCGGGTTCGTGAAACATTAGTGAAAAGTATTTAATAAGGCTAAAAAGTTTTGTGGGATTATGGATTTGGGGAAAAAGGGGGTTTTACAGGGGGGAAGGGGGCTTGTGGCAGATTTGCAAGTGTATGGTGTAGGAGGTGGTTACTGAAACGTGAAAAGTTTTTAGGGGATATGAAATCAAGTTAGAGTTGTAGGGAAAAAAAGGGAATTTTTTCCCCGTAAAAGTACTTAACGGGTGGATGTCACCGTGTTTTTTTAATATATTTTTTGGGGTTTTAGAAAGTAAAACGAGGGTCTTGGGGAAGAGGCTGGAGTTAAAGATAAAAATCACACAAAAAGGGGGGTTGTCACAGCTCCTTTGGTGACCCTGTGCCTTTGGGAGATTCTGAAGGAATTGCAGGTTGGGGGATGAATTTGTGAGTGTGCAAAAGAAAAAAATTAAAGGTGAAAAAAGGAAAAAGGGGTTATGAGGTAACAAAAGATTAGGTGATGAAAGATTGGAATCAGTTGGAGGAGAAGGGATGGGGGGGGTGAACGATTCAGATATTTGGGGGTAACGTGTCACGGATGGGGTTTTAAAAAAATTTAGGGGAATCATAGAATTGATGGAGGGAAAAAAGGTGAGTGGTGCACTTAGGATAGTCTGTGGAGACAAATAAGAACTTTTTTTTTTTTTGGGGGTTCCTTGGGAGGCCAAAGAGGGGAATGTATGAGAGTATAGTTTTACCAACGCTTCTTATATGGTGTTGAAGCGTTGGGTGATGAAATGTTGCAGCGAGGAGAAGGCTGAGCAGTGGAAGATGTCCATTGTCTGAGGGCAATGTGTTGGTGAGAATATAATGCAGAGAATTCGTAGTTAGTTTGGAAGTTAGGACGGAGTGCGGGATTACCAAAACTGTTGTCCAGAGGCGCTGAGGAAGGGTTGTGAGTGGTTCGGGACATGTAGAGAGAATGGAACGAAACAGAATGACTTCAAGAGTGTATCAGTCTGTAGTGGAAGGAAGGCGGGGTAAGGGTCGGCCTAGGAAAGGTTGGAGGGAGGGGGTAAAGGAGGTTTTGTGTGTGCGAGGGGCTTGGACTTCCAGCAGGCATGCGTGAGCGTGTTTGATAGGAGTGAATGGAGACAAATGGTTTTTAATACTTGACGTGCTGTTGGAGTGTGAGAAAAGTAACATTTATGAAGGGATTCAGGGAAACCGGCAGGCCGGACTTGAGTCTGGAGATGGGAAGTACAGTGCCTGCACTCTGAAGGAGGGGTGTTAATGTTGCAGTTTAAAAACTGTAGTGGTAAAGCACCCTTCTGGCAAGACAGTGATGGAGTGAATGATGGTGAAAGTTTTTCTTTTTCGGGCCACCTGCCTTGGTGGGAATCGGCCAGTGTGATAATAAAAATTAATTAATAATATATAATATATATATATATATATATATATATATATTATATATATATATTATATATATATATATATATATATATATATATTTCAGTGCTAGTCACGGCATTATGCCGGGTGAGTGCTCCGGCATAACGCCGTAGTGAGAGGAAGTGTTGCACTTTTGTTTCTCATCTGCCCCATCTTTTGTCCTGTGTTCCCTTTGGTTTTGGGGCTATACATGTTTGATTATGGATAAAAGGAAGTCTTTAACACCGGAAACTATGCCTCAAATCATAGGGCTTCACAAAGCTGGGCACCAAACAAAAGAAATAGTGGAGAATGTTGGTGTGTGTGAGTGTTCAGTGAGAAACTGGGTGCATCGTTTCAAAGCTGGTGGCGGTGTTGAGTTACCATCTGCCAAACCTCGGCCTGGCCCCTCGTTAAAGAAGCAGTTAGAGAGTACACCTAAGATAACTGCTAGAGAACTGAAAGAAAAGAACCCACATCTTCTCTCAGAGGTGTCTGTAAGAACTGTTAACAGACGTGTGTCAGAACTGGGCTACAGTAGTTACTACCAGCTTAAGAAACTGATCCTCTCCAAGCCACGGAAGAAACGTAGGCTGGATTATGCAAAGAAATATCTTCACTAGAATCCTCAACAGTGGTCTCAAGTACTTTGTAGTGATGAAGCAACCTTCACCATCACCTGCAACAGCAGGGGACATGTGTACCAGCCCAGAGGGTAGTGACCCACTAGACCCACGCTACTCCTGTGGGACCACCAAACACCCAGACTTGCTCATGGTTTGGGGGTGTTTCAGTGCTCAGAGTGTTGGTGAACTCATTGTGCTTCCCAAAAACCAGTATATGAACCAGTATAATTACCTGGAGTTATTGTGTGACAATTTACCTGAGGCATTTGACAAGTGTGGGGCTATGGTTTTTATGCAGCATGGTGCACTATGTCATATCGCCAAATCTGTAGTTCAGTGGCTATAGGTCTGTGAAGTGAGGTTCTCTAATGACTGGCCAGGCAATTCCCCAGACCTAAACCCTATTGAGAACCTCTAGTCAATAGTGAAACGAAGTTTACTGGTCAAGAATATCAGTTCCATCCTGTGGTTGGAGGCTGCTCTACATGAGGCATGGAATAATGTACCTCCCAAAACCTTCAAGAATTTGAGTGAGAGTCTTCCTATATGGCCGAGGGGCGTGATTAAGCATAGCAGCACCAAGTATTAAAACCTCAGTATGTGTGCAAATATATATATTATAATCTTTCATGGTATATGCTCGTGTTTTGGTACGTGTGTGGGGGAGGGGCGGCATAATGCCGTGACTAACACTATATATATATATATATGCAAAACACCACTCTGAAAAAATAGAGAAATTCCAAGCGCTTTCGTGACTACTCACATTATCAAGGAACTATGAAAGTGAAGCAGTCCAAGGAAGCTATATAAGGGGTCGGCCAGCACCTCACTATCAGATCCCACAACGGTTAAACACGTGACGCGCGGCGAGCCAACTTGGACTAGGTCCTTTGCAAAACTCACCCCCAAGCTATTTATTTGTCCAGTGTATTATTAAATTCTACCCAAATT